CCACCCCAAGGCTAGCTCTGCCTCACACCACTGACACCCTTGGTTCATCAGCTCTGGGCTTCCAACAGGACCAGTCCAGAACATCTGCATTTCCACCACAAATATGTGGAATCAGAGTCCTGGTGTTTCAATGGTTAAGCACTTAGCTGCTAACTGAAAGGTGAGTGGTTCAAATCCACCAGCCGTTCCCGGCAGTTGGCTCCCATAAAGATGACAATCTTGGAAACTCTATGGAGCAGTTCCACTCTGACCTACAGGATCACTGTGAGTAGGAATAGACTTATGCAATAGGTTTTGTAGTTTTATAGGGAATCAGCGTCTATACTTCAACAACATCCAGGGTGAGTCTTATGTCTGCTCTGGGATCTAAACTGTAGGTTCTGATTCTGTATTTCTGGGGTGGAAATGCACATTTTTAGTAGAAGGTGAAACTAGAATGAACCAGCTCAAAGCCATAGTCCAAACTGAGCTCCGCAGGAGCAATTTCATTGCAGTTTCCTTGTTTGGCCCATACACAAGAGAGAAAATGGGTTTTCTTCCTTTCACCCAAACCCCTCCGCAACCTTGCCCTGCTGGGGCAGATAGTCCCCACCTTTTCTCACGTGCGTCTCTTTACTCAGATCTTATTTATATTCTCTGGTGTCATTTCATAGAATGCACCCAAGATACTTTTCTAGAAAAAGAAATCTTTAAAGCTATTTTGCTGTTAACTGTCAGTGACCCTATGCACAACAGAACAAAACACTGTCCAGTCCTGCCTCACGCCCATGATCAGTTGGGGACTGGACTGCTATGATCCACAGGGTTTTCAGTGGCTGATTTTGGGAAGTTGAGAGCCAGAGTTAGACAGCTGTTTTACTCTGGAGGCTCCAAATGAAACCTGCTCAGCTTCCAATACCAAAAAAGCCAGACCCACTGCCATGGGATCAGTTCCCACACTTTGTTACTCCTAAGTGCTGTCCAGTCAGTTCTGATACATAGCAAGCCTATACAGGGTTTTTGAGGTTGTAAATCTTTTTGAGAGCAGAAAGCCTCATCTTTCTCCCATGGAGTGGCTGGTGGGCTCGAACCACAGACCTTGTGGTTTACAGCCCAGTGCTTGTCCTTCAGCCTCACTAGTACTGTTGGTTCAGCATCTTAGTATGCAAACCACTAATGCAGCAGGTGGTGGCTGCTCACCAGGCGCCCTGGGCAGGAATTGAACCTGGGTCTCCCACACATAAAGGGAGAGTTCTTCCACTGGAACATCCCGGCTTTGCAACAAACAGTTTGTTATTGTTGTTAGGTACCGTGGAGTCGGTTCCAACTCATAGTGACCCTGTAAAGGGTTTCCGAGGCTGCAAGTCTTTATGGGAGCAGAAAGCCTCATCTTCCTCCCGCGGAACCGCTGGTAGTTTTGAACTGACAACCTTGAGTTTAGCAGCCTGATTCGTAACCACTATGCTACCAGAGCTCCTATTTACTTCACTCTAAATGCATGCTGGGCAGTCTGCCCTGCATGGTTTCACATGGGGCGTGGGACAGGAGGGAGGGTTGTCACTCTGACCTCTGTATTCTGACCCCAGCACTGGCTGCACAGATGCTTCCCTAGTTGAACCCATAATGTTGAGCTTAACTAGGAATCCCTATTAAACAAAAGGTTAAAGGTTCAGGTCCACCCAGAGGCACCTCAGAAGAAAGACCTGGTGATCTGCTCCCAAAAACTCAACCACTGAAAACCCCATGGACCCCGTTCTCTCTGTCACACGTGGGGACACCGTGAGTCACAGTGGACTGAATCGCAGCTGGTTCCGCTCAGCCTCTGCACAAAAGCAGGTAGAGTTTAGTTAAGGTTGTTTCTGTTATTAAGTGGACAGAGTCAGTTCCGACTCATAGCGACCCTGTAAACCACTGTAGCAGCCAAAAGCCTCATCTTTCTCCTGTGGAGTGGCTGGTGGGCTCAAACCGCTGATCTTGTGGTTTGCAGTCCAGTGCTAACCCTACAGAGATTATTCTTCTTCAAATGCAGAGAATGATGTCACCCCGACCAGCACCACTGGACTGCTCACACCCCCCATCAGCCTCACCTTCCAACTTGCTGGGCTCTGATTGGCCCCCATCCAAGGATGAGCACAGAGGGCTGGCCTTGGTTTTGTCCATGCTGATGATGCGAACAAGCTTCTGGGGGGTCCCAGAAGGCTGCTACAGATGGGGGGCAGAGGAGAGGAAGGATAAGGGGGTACTGAGGCACTGACATGGGACCTGGGCCTGCCTGGACCCTGCCCCATCAGGCCACACCCACTAAACACTGAGGGTGCTGGGACACAGAGGAAGGAGCAGGCAGACAGGAGGGGTCGTGAGGCAGGGGGGCTGGGAGAGTGGAGGACCCCAGATCTGAGGGAGTAAGAGAAGCAGGCCCCGAGGGTGGAGGGAAAGCCTGGGCCCCGAAACAGCTGCGTGAGACCAGGCTGTGATACCATGGGGGCTCCTGTGGTGAGTACGTAGGCCCTCCCTCCCCTGCAGATGGTGTGAGCTGGGTCCTGAGGTCAGCTAGGAAGGGGCAGTCCCCCGGAGTGGACCCTCACCTTACGGGCGGCCGTGCTCTGTTGTGCCATGTCCTGGATGGTGTCGATAAGCAGATGCTGGGCCCTGCAGTGAGCGAGGAAGCTGACCAGCTGCCCGTCAGCCCACCCTGAACAGCCCGAGGGCTCGGCCCTCCCCCTAATGTTGGCTTCACACCAGTGAAGTCTCCTAGGTGACTCTAATGAACAACCAGGGTCGCGGACTCTACCCCAGAACCCGGTTACTCAAAGTGTGGTCCACAGGCCGAATCCCATCCCAGGTGACGAGGGCTTGAGAAATTTTCTGTGAACTGTAGGTCTGGCCTTGAGCCTTCGAGATGCCCAGAGATTGACCTCTAACATGTTGCCCCCACTGTAGGTTGTCCCCACTGGGTGGCACACATAGTAGCTAAAACATTCAACTGCTCAACAAAAGGTTAGACATTCGAGTCCCCCGAGACATGTTTCACAAGAAAGACCTAGCAATGTACTTCAGATAAATAAAACACTGAGACCCTCACGGGACACAGTTCTACTCTGACACTCACGGGGTCACCGTGAATTAGCTCAGTGAATACCGCTTTGGGGATTTTTTTGGTAGGCTGACCAAGTGTCCTGATTTGCTCAGAACTCAGGGGCTTCCTGGGATGTGAGACTTGGCAGTGCTAAGAGACAAACTGAGATGTCTAGTTACCCTGCTCTTAGGAGACCACTGGCTCCATCTGGAGATATCTGGTTGGTAGAGACCAAGGCTGCTGCTCAACATCCCACAACACCCAGGATGGAATGACCTAGCCCCAAAGGTCCTTAGTACAGTGGTAGGGAAACTCTGTTCTAGAATGTTCTAGAACTGAGGTCCATTTTCAAGAGGGAAAAGTGCCTATCACCCAGAGATGCCGACCTCAGCCAGGACACTGGAGTGTCACAGTCAACTCACCGTGAGTAGTTAGGGATGGCCCCGTGGTCAGTATCCTTCATGGTGTAGGGGCTGACGCGGTGGGCGTGCCAGCGGCCCCGGCCCTGGCCCTGGCACAGTGTGTTGGTGACATGCAGAACTTCATTGCAGTTCACCTGTAGATCCCCCTCCTCCCTGCCCTCCATGGCCATGTTGACCCGGATGTAGAATGAGTCCCCCGAAGTGGCCACCTTGGCCTCCAGGTCTTGGACCAGCTTCTTGTACCCTGAGAAAAGGAGGCATGAGCTGCCACCCACACAATGGGGTCTGGAGACTGTTCTAGAAGGTGAGCGTGAGCGAGGAAGGCCACCGTTCTAGAAGGTGAGCGTGAGCGAGGAAAGCCAGGCCCTGGCATCCTGGCTACTGTGGGCGTCTTCACAGACGTGGGCACTCCTGACTGAGTCCCCCTCCCTGGCCCAGGGGTCAGTCGCGGAAGCAGTGGCAGACGGGGGACAGGGACTGGGCAGTGTACCATCCATGTTGACCTTCACAGACAGGCAGCAGAAGCCGTCCACCCGCCCCAAGAGTCTGATGGCCTGCTCCAGGGTTGTGCCTTCCAGAACAGCTTTGAACTGGGGCTCCGTGGCTTCGTAATCAACCTAAGGACACATTGCAAGGGTCCATCTCAGAAACGAGGATTCTGGGCTCGTGGGCTAGTAGTGAGGAACCTGGGAGGAGGGTTCTGGAGGTAGATACAGTGTACGCCACAGTCAACAGATTTATCTGTCACCCACATGCCTCGTGGAAATCAAAGGCCACATGCATCAGAGCCTCGGTCGCAGGCTAGGTCAGGCACCTGGATGCAGGACATCACGTTCCACCATGCTGACTCTGTGCCCGACAGCCCTGATCACCAACCCTTCCCCAAGACACTGGACACTTACTGTCCAACATCACTAGCTGTGTCCTCTTAAATGTATGAGCCTTTATAGTGTGAGGAGGAACCCGTGGTGTGAAACTGTAGAATACACTCTGGCCTGACAACCACAGATCGGCAGGGGAAACCCACCAGCTGCTCCTCGGGAACCCTGCTCAATGTCACTGAGTTGAAACCGATTTGACAGCACTTAATAACAATGACATAGTGTCAAGGAGCCCTAGTCGTGCTGTGGGTTAAGCACCAGGCTGCGAACCCATCAAACCCATCAGCCGCTCCATAGGAGGGAGATGAAGCTGTCTGCTCCCCTAAAAACTTAGGATCTCAGGAACCCTGTACAGACTCGCCGTGAGTGGGGGTCGGCTCGAAGGCCCTGGGTTTGGTTTTGGCTTCATTTTGTTAAAGGAGTCCCTGCAAAATGCAAATGGTTAACATGCTCAGTGGTCAGCGGAAGTTCAGAGGCTCAAGGCCACCCAGGAAGAAAAGGTCTGGAGATTTAAATTCCAAAAATCTCAACGGCTGAAAACCCTGGGGCGCAGTTCTACTCTGATACATAAGGGGGGCACCATGAGTGGGATCTACTTATGAAAAATCATCCACTGAGAACCCTGTGGGCACAGTTCTACTCTGACACACACGGGGCACCATGAGTGGGATCTACTTATGAAAAATCATCCACTGAGAACCCTGTGGGCACAGTTCTACTCTGACCACACGGGGGCATCATGAGTGGGATCTACTTATGAAACATCATCCACTGGGAACCCTGTGGGCACAGTTCTACTCTGACACACACGGGGCACCATGAGTGGAATCTACTTATGAAATATCATCCACTGAGAACCCTGTGAGCACAGTTCTACTCTGACACACACAGGGCTCCATGAGTTGACGCCAACTCCATGGGAACTGATTACTGGTATATTTTAATAAAACAATAAAAAACAAAACAAAATTCACTGTCATGGAGTCATAGAGAGACTATGAAAGAATCAAATCGAGATGTGTTTTCAAACTGTTAGAAGTGAAGTCACCCCATTAGGGTACCAGGATGCTGCCTCACCCACAGCTTACAACTGAGACTCCTGAGAGGAATGAGGGTGTTTTGTGTAGTGTGGCGTGGAGAAAGAACATGGGACCACACTGGTATTAGGAGCTCCATGTGCCAATCATTTAGGACAAAAGAGATGTTCATCTGCCATATGGAAGCCCTGGGACTCACCTGCCTTATCCCCTGACCCCTCCAGGGACAAAAGAACTACTCCAGGTATGGCGGGGTGGTGGCGCCTGTTTGCACATTGCTTGGTATTTTTGAAAGCTGATATGTAATAATTCTGTTTTCACATCACAAAAAACTCACCCTCCGCAACCATAATAAGGAAAAGTTGTACGGTGATGGTTTCTGTGTTTTTTTATAGAAAAAGTGCTTAGAAATACCCCTGCTGAGAGGCCAACTGGCCCGTCCCTGTCATTTTCCTGTCCCTTCATAGAGTCTCATGAGGGGCGGGGTCTCGCGGAGGGCGGGGCTCTAGGGGCGGGGCCTCGGAATAAGGGGATATCTAGTTGGCAAGGTTGAAGGTTCCACCCAGCTCCTCTAAGGAGCACACAATTCCAAATTGGCCCAAGAAGAGCCGGGCCATGGGTAACACACCTCTTCAAGTCTGATGTAATGGTGCCGGTGACCGGCCCACTCCTGGAACTGACCTTGCCAAGTCCGGAGGGCCGGCACCCGCTCACCATCACAATCTGGGTGCCTGGGCGCAGCGCCATCTCATCAGCTGCCGATCCGGGGGTTACTCGGTGGATGAAGATGCCCGTGCTGTTTCCTCCAATAACGCTGATCTGATTCAACAATGCGTGTCCCTGGAAAGTCAGCCCGGTGACCTGGCTAGTGATCCGGCGAGCTGGCCGCCGCCGCACAGGCATACTGCTGCTTGAAGGACACGGGCTGGTGCTAGAAGTGACCAGGTGATGCACGCTGGGGCATCCTAAAGACACCAACTCCAGCTCTCCAGCTAGTCACCAGGAGGCAAGCCACACCTCACCAGTTCCCACCCACCTGTCTCCAATTACCTGTCCCCACTCCCCTGCCCCACTCACCTGTCTGAAACGTAGAGGCCCCCAGAGAAGGGCTGCGAGCCACTGTCTGCATCAAAAAGGCCTAGGAGGGAGTCAGGAGCTTACAGACTGAGCCCAGAGTAGACCAAGACTCCTGGTGGGCCCAGCCCTGACCCTCTACCTCACTAGCTTAGACTGCACCCCGTTCCTCTTCCTCTCCCTGGCCACCCAGAACCTTTGCTTATCTTCTGTAAATTGCAGGATGCAGTAACCAGAGGAGGCTTGCCATGAGGTGGGGGTGCTTGGCCCACATGGTACTGTTTCTGAGTATTTGGGTTTGCTCTTGATGTTTTAAAAGACAGGGAGACTTAACCTAAGTCTGATTTCTGACTCCACTTGAAAAATCTAATCTTTCTGCATGGACTGCATTTCCGCTTTGGCCACCTCCGGCAAACTCCAGGTCACTCTGCTAGCCCCAGCAGGTCCTGACCTGGTAGGATCCTTCCCGGGATCCCCCCAGCTCTAGCAGCCCCCAAAGGTCTGTGGTCACATCTCTGAGCCCAAGAGTACTGACAACCAGTGGAGACCTCACTGTGCCAACTGTGGGAGACCTTGTGCCAACTTGCAATTCTATTTCAATCTGAAAGGAGCTGGCGTATTATAAGGCATTTTCGCTAACATTCATGAAACCAAGATACTGGGTAGAATCCGAACCAACAGAAAGGAGAGGAATAAATAGGTGCTCCGTGTTGTGTTCTCAGTGTAGCCGGTGCCTAGGACGACCCCCTCAGGTTGTCTGATGTGAATGGGAGAGCACAGTCCCTGCCTCAAAGCCCCCTGCATGCAGCGGTGTGGTGTGTGCACCCCCTAGTGGTCATGTGGTGAATTCCAGACAGATGCTAAGTGCCTACTGTGTGAGAGGCGGGCCCAGGTGTGCACAGGTGGGGAAGCAGGGAAGCCCTCCTTATGAGGTACAGTCTTGAGGAAGAGACTGGGCGTGTACACTCCCCTTGGGAATGAGACCTCAGCAGGCAGGCACTGACACACTGCATCTGTCACCTCCTGAAATCACAGGATCCAAGTGTCCACAACTGGGGGGCAGTGTGGGAGAGTGAGACAGAGGGTGGAAGAGGATGTGAGTGTGAACGTGTGTCTCAGTGTTGGGAGTGTTATGTGAGTGTGTGCATATGTATGTGTGAGTGTTGTCTAGGAAAGTCTGAGGAAGTACATGTGCTCAAGGGTTCATGTGTGTCCATGGTGTGTGAGTATGTCTTGTGAACATGTATGTGTGAATGTGAGTGTCTGTGTGTAGATGAGTATGCACACATGTGAAATGTTGCATGACTTTGTGCGAACATGTGGACACTTGTGTCTCTCTGAACATATGTGTATACATGACTCTCTCTCTCTGTGGACACCTGTGTCTCTGTGAACATGTGTGTATACATGATTCTGTGTGTGACTGTGTGGACATCTGGGTCTCTGTGAACATGTGTGTATACATGACTGTGTGTGTTGAGTGTGACAGTGTGGAGGTGCATGTGTGTCTGTGTGTCTGACTGGGTGTACATGAGTGTGTCTGTATGGGGGGGTGATAGCATGTGTGAGGAGTACACACTGGATGTATATGTGTGGGAATCTGCGTGTGTGTATGTCTAGCTCTCTAAACTTGAATGCTGGACTGGACACAGGCCTGCATACAGCCCCCTTGGCCTCCAGGGGGTGCAGACTGGCCCTCCATGTGGGAGCCAGCAACCCTATACCTGGGTTGTCTGAGGCCCAGGGTGGAGCAGTGCAGGTCTGCACCTCCTGACCCTCCCTCACCAGATAAGCAGGCTGCTCCTGCCCACTGCCCCCCCCCCCCCCGCTCCTGGCCGGTGCCGGCTTCAGGGTTCCGCAGGAGGTTTGCTCACCAGCCTTGTCCACGATCTCATAGTCCAGGTCCAAGTCATCTGCCCTGCCCACTGGGGAGGCACTCCGCCCTGTCTCCAGGATTTCCGGAAGGCTGCTGTATGGCGGAAGCAGTGACCTTAGACCTGAAGCCCCTGCCTCCTTCCCTGCCCAAAGCTGACTATGTGACCCCCCCACACCCAGATGAAGGCACATCTATGGAAAACGGCACCTATACCAGGCACTGAATCCCACCCCTGTCCAGACATCGGCCAACAACTGTCCTGTAGATAACTTTCCCATCCTATCCGCTTAAAAACACAAGTCATGTTCATCCATCTCTGACTTAACACCTTCCTGGTTTTCACCAGTGAAAATCGGTCCATGCTGGGCCCAAGGGCATTGTTCTCAGTGTCTTCTCCTTCAACATTTAGCAGAGCAAGGTCATTATCTCTGCCCGGACCCACAGGGGCTCTTGAGCACCAGAACATTCATGTTGACTTGCCAAATGATCTCACAGCTGACCATGAACACAGCCAAGGTTCATAGCAGCTGATCCATGGCACCCCTATCCTTAGCCCCATCCCTACCCAGATGGCTCAGGCTAGATGAGACCCTCCATGTGGGATCCAGCACCGTGCCCTCTCTACCTTAATGACCAGGGTTCCTCCAGGAGGTCCTCTGTGACCCGCTTGTAGAGGGACTGCTGACTGGGTGGCACGGGGCTGCTGGAGCGGAAGCTGGACATGGTGTTCGAGTGGGACCAGGGCTGAGAGGAAAACAGAGTCTGCACAGGGAACTGCCCCCCACCGGTGACACCCACATGGGTGTTGTGCCCACCCAGTACAGTGGAGAGGAGCCAGAGGGAGAGGAAGGAAGAGCTCACTAATGGAGCACCTACTGTGTACCAGGCACTACAACGGCTGCTCTCAGTGTTGTTTACAGTTTAACTCTCTATAAATCTACAAGGTGGGGGTACTATTGTCCCATCTGGAGTCCCTGGGAGACATAAATGGCTAAACATTCTGCTGCTGACTGAAAGGTTCATGGTTCCCACCCAGAGGTACCTCAGATCCCTAGTGGTGCAGTGAGTTAAGCATTAGGTTGCAAACTGCAAGGTCGAGACTGGTTCGAACCCACCAGCTGCTTCTCAGGAGAAAGATGAGACTTTCTGCTCCCATAAAGATTTACAGTTTTGGATTCTTAACCTTTATGGTCACTATGAGCTGGAAACAACTCTGTAGTGGTGGGTTGGGTTTGGTTTCTAGAGGTACCTCAAAAAAAAGATCTGGCAATCTCCTAAAAGGGCACAGCCTTGAAACCCCTATGGAGGGCAGTTTTACTGTGATATGTGTGGGGTGGCCATACACTGGAATCGACTTGAGAGCAACAGACTTGTTTCTTTTTATAAGGAAAGCAACCAGGGCTCACAGAGGCTGAATACTAGTTAGTGAGGGGACTTGCTTCCCACCTGTGGGGAGGGAAAGTAGCCTTCAGAACCCAGATGGGCCAGGTGTACCAGTCAAAATGCTGGGCACATGCTGGAGGACAGCAGGTATGCGACAGGTGATCCCAAACAAGAATTTGATCCATCTTCACAGAACAACTATTCCCTTAGCACCTACAATGTCCCGGACTATTTGGCATACACCTAAGGACAGGTGATATCCTTAGTGGGGTGGGGTGGGGGGGGTTGGCGGAAGACACCAACAGGCTAATACAGACCAGAGTCGTCCAGCAAGGACACCAGGAGCATGGTGGACCAGTCGGGCTGGGTGGCCAAGGGATTTCTGGGGTAGGGGGGGAAAGTGGCATCAAAGCTGACAGAGTGGCCAGGTGGAGAGGGATGGGGTGCATTCCAGACAGCAGGGGTAGAGAAGAGAGGTGGGGAGGAGTGGTCCCCTTAGGGTGAGGAGAGTTGGGGGGGAAAGCCACAGAGAGTACTCTGGCAGAGAGTGGAGCTCAGTGGAGTCCAGTGAGAATGTCTGGGTTCTGAGCCCTGAGGCCCCTCCCCGCACCACCCTGACCACCATCTCCAAAACGAAATCATAGCTGGACTTGGACCTGGGGGCACTGGGGAGCCATGGAGGAGTCTAGACTGGGAGGAACCTGATTGGATCAGCCTGGAGGTTGGCTTGCTCAGGCCCTGGATGTGTGCACTCTGGAGAGAGAGAGGACAGATTTCTGCACTCTCCCCACGGGTTAGTGAGATTGTCAGCTGAGTGCTGTTGGCCCAGGAAATCAGGGACGCTGGGGTGAAGGCTGCTGGAACCATCCAGAAAGAAGCCACCAAGTTCCCCACTGCAGCAGTGGTAAAGGGGTGCCACTTTCCACCTGCTTCTTAACGCCCCTCATCCCAGGAAGTGGCCCTGTTGTCCCACCCTGAGGTCTCATTCCCAAGGGGAGTGTACACTCCCAGTCTCCTCCTTAAGACTGTACTTACAGGAGGGACACCCCACGTCTCGTCTCCCCTTGGCCAAAGGGTATGCACAGAAACAGGGAGACCCAGGTACTGGAAGCTCAGTGAGGTTGGAACCCCAACAACTGACTGTTGAAAGTGGCACCAGCCCTTCCCCATGGGAATGAGAAGGAAGTTCCCCTTAGTTGGAGGCCAGAGGAACGGTACCTCAGTGGAGCTAAGGAGGTCCCCGCTGCTAATGTCTGCCTGTGGGCAGATGGCATACATCCGGACCAGCCGCTGTTTACCAGGCACACAGGGCTCCTGGGGCTCAGTGTCCTCCTTGGCCTGCCAAGACAGAGGTGGGCTGGTTAGCACAGAATGCTTATCTTGGGCTCTGGCCCAGTTACCATCACCCATTTCTGCCAGGACAACCGCCACGCCCACCCTCTACATCTGGCAGGTAAAAAGAAAGGTCTGGGACCCGGTCCCACAGGAGGTATAGCCTGAGAAGTTTGTTCCCTACTTATTATAAAAACTGCATGAACTCACACAATACTCTGAGGGGGAGACACTGATTAGAGCAGAAAATAAAGTCCACCCATCATCCCACTAGAGTCCCCTGGGTGATCCTAACCCTAAGGTTGGGAGGTTAGAGGGCACTTTGGACCCTGGAAAAGGCCTGGTGATTTACTTGATCCATCAGTTCCTGAACACACCATAGAGCACACATCTACTCAGGCACAAGGCCAACACCCAGACATAACCCCAACACTCAGAAACCACACTGTTAGCTTCTTGGTGTCTGTCCTTCCTGGACCCTATCTGCAGCTAGGAGCTGCCTACGGGGGGGGGGGGGGGGGGGGCAGCCCTCTGCATCCCTCGAATCCCTCACCTGGGGAAGCACTCACCCCATTTAGTGAGTCTGTTTGAAGCTTGGGTAGCTGTTTGCGCAACTCACAGATTTCCTCCGTCAGCTCAAACACTTTTCTGCGGAGCGAGTCCTTCTCCACCAGCCTCTGAGAAATCTCCATCTGGGCTCCATCTCTGGCTGCGTATGCCTGGGGGCCAGAGGCAGTGAGACCCCCACACTTCACCCACATGTGTCACAAGACGATCAAGGAGAGTCTCTGGCACAGCAAGTGGCTCTGCTCCTTTTCTGCATTTAATCTGAACTCATCCAACATGGCCCAAACTCAGATTTCATCCCAAGATGTGCAGGTAGATAGATGTACACAGCTTTAATAAAATCTGATACTTGGGGTTGAGGGTACTTGAAATGAGTCCCTGGGTGGTAGGCATGGTTGACACCTGTGGCTGCTAATTTTAAAAGATTGAAAGAGTCAAGTCGACCCAGCGGTGCCTCAGAAGAAGAGCCTGGTGATCTACTTATGAAAAACCATCCACTGAGAACCCTGTGGGCACAGTTCTACTCTGACACACACGGGACACCATGAGTGGGATCTACTTATGAAAAATCATCCACTGAGAACGCTGTGGGCACAGTTCTACTCTGACACACACGGGACACCATGAGTGGAATCTACTTATGAAAAATCATTCACTGAGAACCCTGTGGGCACAGTTCTGCTCTGACACGGGGCACCATGAGTGGAATCTACTTATGAAACATCATCCACTGAGAACCCTGTGGGGCACAGTTCTACTCTGACACACACGGGGCACCATGAGTGGGATCTACTTATGAAAAATCATCCACTGAGAACCCTGTGGGCACAGTTCTACTCTGACACACACGGGGCACCATGGGCCAGTTGTGGACCATGGAATCTGGTTCCTGAAATGGAGACAATTTCTCAGACATTGACAGGGGCACTGTAGGATAAGCAATGGACTTCTAATTACAAGGTCACTCCTTGGACACCCCATCCAGGGTTGCCAAGGGTCAGAACCAATTTGACGGCGCTCGGTAACAACATAGCCCAGAAATAAAAGCCAAAGGGATCTGACCGACAGTGGACACAACAGGAAGGGTGAAAGGAGGCAGTGGGGATTTCAAAGACCATGTGTCGACCACGGGAACAATGGACAGTTGCTGCCAAGTCGTTCCAATTCCTGGTGACCTCGTGTGTCAGAGTAAAATCACACTCCATTGGGCTTTCGGTGGTTGATTTTTTTGGAAGTAGGCAGCCAGGCCTTTCTTCTGAAGCATCTCTAGGTGGACTCAAACCTTCAATCTTTTGGTTAGCAGCTGAGCTATTTGTATTTGTGTCAGCCAGGGATTTCTGCTACCCACTGCCATCGGGTCAATTCCGACTCATAGTGACCGTACTGGACAAAGTAGAACTGCCCCAGCGAGTTTCCAAGCAAATCTTAACTGGAGCCGGCTGCCTCATCTTTCTCGAGGAGCGGCTGTGGGCTTGAACCAACGACCTTTTGATCAACAGTACAACGCTTATCCCACTGCACCACCTGAATTCCTTATCAATCTGGAACCGCCTGCCACCATGAGGCGCTCTCCTGGGCAGGGTCCCCGCTTAGATACCTGGTCTCGCTCTTTCTGAAGCTCAGCCATCTGTCCCTGGAGGGCGTTCATCTTCTCCTTGTACAGCTCACAGTCCACCTGGGTTTTCTGGAACTGCATCAGAGTCTTCTCCTTCTCTTCCCAGTACTGCTCAGGGCGAAACACTGAATCACCCTGTGTTTCCTGACTGCCCCACAAACTTCACTGTGACCTCGAGGACAGAGCAGAGAGTGTGAGCTAGTGCTCACTAGCTTTGCTGGTCCCCAGAGAGAGGAGGACACGCCATCACCTGCTTGCGCTGTCTCTCGGCGGCCACGGCCCGTGCCCTCAGTGAATGGATCCGATCCACCAGCTCCTGTTTGCTCTCCCGGGCCTCGTCCAAGCTCTGTTCTAGGATGTCCTTCTCCACCTGGGGCCAAGACAGGTCAGCCGGGGTTCAGCCAGGAAGGCTGCTCCCTGAGAAGGCAGCCCCACCGAGTCCTGAGACTAAGACTGGATGTCAGATGGACTTCACCTCCTCAGGCAGGAGTAGAGGCCCTGAGTGGTGCACACAGTGCTCGGACCAGAGATCCCTTGGAAGAAAGGCCTGGTAATCCACTTCTGGAAAAGCAGCCATGGAAACCCCTATGGAGTGCAGTCCTTCTCATACACGTGGTGCCATCAGGAGTCAAAATGGTGTGGCTTGTTTTTGGTTAGGGCGTTAGGGACAGACACTGGGAAGTAGGTGCCCAGCAAGTCCCCAGGGCTGGAAGCTGCACCTTCAGGACCTACCACACTGAAGGTCAGCGATCTGAGCTTCTCATTTTCCTCCTTCAGACGGCTCACTTCCTCATCTTCCGACTCCAGGCTGTTGGCCATCTGCAGGGAGCGCTCTTGAAATTCCCGCTCACAGGAGGAAGCCACCTTCGCCCGCTGCAGCTCCTGCTTCATCAGGTACAACTGGTCCAGGAAGGAGTGGGAGGAAGACCCTGTCAGAGCCATGAGCAGCCCCCCTTTCCTCCTGGGTGAACTGCTCCGGCATTCAGGAGGGCGTCCAAACTCCAGGAAAAGTGTGTCTCTCTCTCTTTGGCAAGTGAGCCTTGTGTGATAGGTGAGGCATGACCACCGTTGCATTACCAGGCTGGGGAATGGGACAAGGAGCCCTGGGAGTCCGCCCCACACCATGTCTGTGTCTCTCATTACAAAGATTGTCAGCGTGGCCAGAGGGGCCAGGGCATGTTCGCTTTAGCAGTCTGACTGCTCTGCTTTTCCTGTTCTTAGAAATGCATCAGATCAAAGGCTTTGAGATTCCTGAAAAGCAGTACACAGAGAAAGATGAAGGCCAAGTCCAGTTGGGGCAGGGGCTGGGGAACGTAGGACATGTCTCCTGGACCTGCCATCACCCCTGCAGTGACGCCACTTCCCACCCAGTGTGCTGTCTGTCCAGGGTGATGCTCTGGAAAGCCACCTTGCTGGACCCTGCTGTCCCTCTTCCTGTGGACGGGGCTTTGAGAGGCCCTGACTTGCCTTCACTTGGCAGTCCACCAAGGAAGAAGGGGCAGGGAGTCTTTTCCTGGGAGGCATGCTCATGAAGTCTGGAAAACAAGGTGCCCTGTGCACCTAGGCTTGCCGGCGGGGAACGGTGTTCCAGACAAATGGAACAGTGAATGAAAAGGCACCGGGGCAGAGGGCCAGAGTCCACCAGTCAAAGAACCAGCAGCAGGGCGCCCCCTCCCTCCTTCTGCAAGCTCTCCACTGCCTCCTCCTCCCCCCACAACCCCTTCCACACGCCCACCTCCCCCCAGCCCCTCCCCCACGCCCACCTCCTCCTGCAGGCCTCGGCAGCGTGTGGTGGCCAGCTCCTTGTCCTGCAAGGCACTGCTGTAGTGCAGGGAGAGGTTAAGCAGTTCATCCTTCAGCTTTAGCACCTCGTGAAAGTGGGTGCTGACCTCGCGCTTCATGCGGCCGTGGTCGGCCTCCAGCTCTCGCAGGCTGTCCACACGGGCCTCGGCCAGGCCCAGGCGTTCCTGCAGCTGCCGACATTGCTCCCGCAGCGCCACCTTCTGCCGCTGCTCCTGACTCAGCTCCTCCTGCAGGCTGCCAATGGCCCCAGCCAGGCACTCGGTCAGCTTGGACGTCTCAATGAGCCCTGTGGAGATACGGGGGACAGGTGGGCCCAGGGCCAGTGAGACATGACCCCTGATTCCCCAAACTCCCAAACCAAGCCCACTGTCATTGAGTTCTTTCTGCATCTCATGACCCTACAGTCACCCTACCTGGCCGAGCAGAGCTGCGCCATAACGTTTCTGAGATTGTAAATCTCTCCAGAAACACACAGCATCATAGGGCTCCCACAGAGCAGCTGGTGGGCTTGAACCACCAACCTTGCAGTTAGCAGCCCAACACTTAACCCGCCGCACTACCAGGTCTCCTTTCTAACTGTCTAGCAGGACTCTGTCCCTAATCTGTTGGTTTCATTAAGAGCACCTGGGCCTCAACCAGACCTGGTATTTTTGCTAAGAAAGTAGTACGACTCCCAACTTGGGAAGGAGGAAATAGCACCCACTGTGTGGAAAGCTCACTCCCAGGGTGGTCTCCTCATCCACCTGCTTATTCAGTCAGACACAACATGGTGGAGACATGCTTAGTATTATCCTGTACTAATGTATCCTAAGAAACATCATCCTAAGAAATCTGCTGCACAAGACCTTTTTAAAGTGTTGAAGAGCAAAGATGTCAGCTTGAGGACTAAGGTGCGCCTGACCCAAGCCATGGTATTTTCAGTAACCTCATATACATGTGAAAGCTGGACAGTGAATAAGGAAGGCCATAGAAGAATCGATGCATTTGAGTTATGGTGTTGGAGGAGAATATTGAAAGTGCCATGGGCTGCTAAAAGAACCAACAGATCTGTATTGGAAGAAGTGCAGCCAGGGTGCTCCTTGGAGGCCAGGAGGGCCAAACTTCATCTCTCATACTTTGGACATATTGTCAGGAGGGACCAGTCACTGGAAAAAGATACCATGTTTAGTAAAGTGAAGGGTCAGAGGAAAAGAGGAAGACCCCTAGGAGATGGATTGGCACAGTGGTGGGTGCAATTGGCTCAGGGTTGGCAACAATAGTGAGGTTGGCCCAGGACCGGGGACAATGTCTCCTTCTGTTGTGCATAGTTGGTGCCGACTCGATGGCCCCTAACGACAACAATAGGAAACCCATAAGGTATGTGACTATCTATATAGAATAGAACTCTATATAAACCAATTGCTCTGAAACTTGTCTAAGTCATACATTCTTTGCTGGAATTTTATGGAGTCAGATTGCTGAACCTTTCTCCCACAGTACTGCTGCATGGGTTCAAACCACCGAACTTTCCATTTAAATAAGTCCACTGCCATTGAGTGGATCCCAACTCATAGTGACCGAGCGGAACTCTTCCTTAGGGTTTCTGAGACTGCAAATCATTAAAGGAACAGACTGCTTCATCTGTGCTCCTCTGAGCAGCTGGTAGATTTGAACTGCTGACCTTGTGGTCACCAGGGCTCAATCAGTGCTTGAGTGCAGCCATTTACAGCATCAGGGACCTGTGGACACCCCTGGGTAAGGTATGTTCTCGACAGAGTACCTAGCTCCACAGACGGTCTGGTCTAGCCAAACCAGGAAAACGACAGCTGTTTTAGCCACTGTTCTGAGTTCTGTGAGCCCCACTCCTGTGGAGGCCTACACACAAAAACTCCTCCAGGGAGAGAAAATTAGTAAGCTAACTAAAATGGTCTTACCTCCCACCGAGCAGGAGTGGGATTTACTTAGGGGGTGGGGAAATGCACAGAAAATTCTCCATGAGGCTTCGGGCTCCGCCTTAACTCCCCACACCACAATATAGAAGTCTCTACCATCCTCCATCTACCCCCAGCTCCCAAGTGTCCTGACTGGGACACGGGTCTGGACAGCCCTCTCAACTCCATCAAATGGACAGAGAGGGGAAAGCAAGCTCCCCAGAATCAGGCATGCTTCCTCTTGGCCACTGTCTCTAAAACACAGGCTTCTGGCCCACGTGAGAGGTCTTCATGCTGAGGGGTAACAGTTAGGGGTCTTCATGCCAAGGAGTAGTTAGGGGTCGGTGTGCTGAGGGGTAGTTGTTCTTGTTGTGTGCTGTGGAGTCGGTTCCGACTCATAGCGACCCTGGATTGTTGTTGTTGTTATGTGCCGTGGAGTCGGTTCCGACTCATAGTGACCCTGTACAGGGTTTCCGAGGCTGTAAATCTTTACGGGAGCAGAAAGCCTCATCTTTCTCCCGCAGAACAGCTGATAGTTTCGAACTGCTGACCTTGAGGTTAGCAGCCCAAGTTGTTGTTGTTGTTGTTAGGTGCCATTGAGTTGGTACCTTATGCACAGCAGAACGAAACACTGTCCGATCCTGGGCCAACCTCAGTATCGTTGCCACGCTTGAGCCCATGGATACTGCCACTTGGCCAATCCACCTCACTGGGGGTCTTCCTCTCTTTCTCTGACCCTCCACCCTACCAAACATCATATCCTTCTCCAGCAACTGGTCCCTCCTGACAGTATGTCCAAAGTATGAGAGACAAAGTCTGGCCATCCTGGCCTCCAAGGAGCACTCTGGCTGCACTTCTTCCATGACAGATCTCTTGGTTCTTTTGGCAGCCCATGGCACTTTCAACTCTTAACACCATAACTCAAATGCATCAACTCGCAGCCCAAGTTAGGGGCAGATAGATTCCTTCTCTTCCTCCCCGTGGCGTGGTTAGTGGGACAGCAGTATTGCAGAATGAGAATCTTTGGCAGAAAGCTATGGGGTCCACATTTGGACCAGCAGCAGGCAAGGTGGGGCCACCCCAAGGAAACCGAACTTTCCCAAGAAGCTCAGGCCCAGGGTCCCAATGAGCACCAGCTCTCACCACTGAAGTTGCCGAAGTCCACTTCCGGCCGCAGCCCAGTGACCAGGGTGTAGACATCAGGGTTGTGGAATTTGAGACTCTCCAGAAATGCGATGGCCCCATTCTTCCCACGAGTCTTCAGCAAGTCCAGCAAGTGCCCTGGAAGAGAAGACACCTGCAGCTAACTGGGCACTGGGCTGGCATGTCTCAGAATGAGATAATTGTTTAGGCTCTCAGGAGGGAGGAGATGGAGACAGAGATTGGGAGTCCCAGAAGCTGGAAGAGACCAGGGAGAGTCCTCCCCATGCATCTTCGGAGGGAGCACTCCTTGAATTCAGACTCCTGTCCTCCAGGCTGTGGGAGGATGAATTTCCTGTTTCATAGCCACATCCTGCGACATGACATTTTTTTGTTGTTACAGTGACCCTAGGTTAAGTAAGTGAAAGAGATAGGGGTTTCTTTGGGGAAAATTTGACGGGGTCTTGGTTGTACAGATCTGTGACGATGCCCTTTGAAGGGTGAAGGGCACCGTGTGTGAGTTCTCTCACTAAGAGCTGTTATCAGAGGAGGGAGTGAGGGAAGAAGGAAGATGAACCACTGGGCCCAGCTGGCCATGTGGTCCTAGGGACTGAGGTCAGTGGGGGCTGGGTCAGAGGTCTTGTCAGGGGGCTGGGCCAGGGGGTCTTGGGGCCAGGTTTGGGAGCAGGGTTGGGGACTGGAGCAGGGGGCCAAGTCATAGCCAGGTTAGGGGAACAGAGTATGGGAGCTGGGTCGGGGGACCCATCGGGGGCAAATCAGGAGGCTGAGCTGGGTAGGTCATTAAAGTCTGGGAGTCAGGTTAAGGGACTGAGTGTGGAAGACAGATTGGGGGCCGGGGCAGGGGGCACAGTTGGAGACAGGTGGTAGGGGCTGAGTCTGGGAACTGGGTCAGAGTTCAGGTAAGGGAGCTAAATCAGGGGGCTGAGTCCAGGAGCTGGGTAGGGGGGAGACAGGGGACTGATTCTGAGAGCCAGGTCAGGGGACAGGGCCAGGAGACCAAGTCTGGGAACTGGATCTAGTGGGAAAGTCTTGGAGCTGAGTCCAGGGTCAAGTTTGGGAGCTGGGTCAAGGGGCCGAGTACGGGGGGCCAAGTCTGTACACTGAGTTTGAGAGCTGGGGGTGAGGGCTGGGCACTGAGTCTGGGAACCGAGTCAGGGAGCTGAGACTGTGAGCTGGGTCTGGGGGCTAAGACTAGGAATCGGGGCAGGGGTGGGGGGTAGGGCACTGAGTCTGGGAGCCAGGTCTGGTATCTGGGTCTGGGGGCTGAGTCTAGGAGCCAGGGCAGGGGTGGAGGGTGGGGCTGGGGGCTGGGGGCTGGGTCAGGGCTCGGCAGCGTGGTGGCTGGGCCTCACCAGTTCGCATGGCGGTGTTGGTGAGCCGGGGGCCATGAAGTACCTCCTCCTCATCCAGCTGGCCCAGAACGCGGGCCTGACGCAGGTAGGGCGTGAGGCGGCTGGGACTGACGCTGCACACAATCCTACACCGCTGACTGTCTACCATCTCCCACAACTGCTCCTCGTCCAGAGACATCAGGGTGGACTCTGTGCGGCACAGCTCTGCCATGGTTGGAGTGGGAGACCTGGAAAGGGGGCAGGCTGAGATTCAGCCAGGTGGTTGCAGGGCCTGCCCATGCCATGGGGCAGAGAAGGAGGACCCATTTACAGGGTAAGAGACCTAATGGTTTCAGCTTCCCACTCCTTTAGGAAGCTGCTCCAACGTTGGGTGGATTCACTGAACAAAGGAGACGTTAAATCCCAGATCTGTTCTCTCAAGGGATGGAATCTGCAGCTCCACAGGGCCAATAGGGCCTCCGGGGCTCAGAACTGGTTCAAACAGCCTGGTCATGACAGAGGAAAACAAGGGCCGCATATGTGTTGCATAGCAACCAAATCTCTTATGTGTGTGGTTTTTACCCCAGTCACTCCTCGGAAACCCTATACAGGGTCACTATGGGTTGGAACTGACTTGATGGCATTTAACAATAACAAAGAAATAGGCATATTCCTGGTGTGGCGCTGTGGGTTAATGTACTGGACTGCAATGTCGGCTTGAACCACAAGGTCGATGGTTCAAGTTCACCAGCCGCTCCTCGGAAACCCTATACAGGGTTGCTGAGTCAGAACTGACTGGACAGCATTTAACAACAACAAGAAGGAAGCAGGCCCTGCGCAAAGATGACAGCCTACTGACACACTCAAAGCAGCATGGTTGGTGACCATCTTTGAAAGGGGCACAGATACTTGTTTTCTACTTGGGTCAAAACGCCATGAAAGAGATCTGGTTGCTATGCAACATGCATGCGGCCCTTTTCCTATGGGCCGTGGCTGGGACATTTCGAACTGGTACAAAGCCCTGAAAACGTCTCTGTTTAAAGCACAGATATGCCTACTTGTTGAGTTGGTTACTCCTGTGTGTCAGAGTAGAACTGTGCTACATAGCATTTTCCATGTTTGGAAGTAGATTGCCACACCTTTCTTTCAAGGACCAAGGATCGACAAGAACTCCTCACCCACTCACAGGGTTTCCCTAACTCCTGTTGCTTTAGAAAAACCATCATGGTTTTGGCTACGTCCAGTTTCCACCCAAGCATTGAACCTTGATGCCCACGTTCCACCTAAGACCAAGCACTAGGCACCACCTTCTCTATCCAGACCTGAAGCCGAAGCATATCTTACATCATGGCTCACTGTGTTTGTATCTTTTACTCAAAGCAAAAAAGACCAGTGGAGGAGGAGCAGAGGCAATCTGGGTTGGGCAAGTCTCTGAGTAGTTGAGATGGCAGCTTGCCTCTGGGACTGTTTGCACAAAGCACTCCACACAGCTCACTGGGAAAACCCCAGACTGCGGCTCTCCAGGAGTCTCGAATCATACCTGGGAAGGAATCGTACCCAGTCAGCCTCCCACTCCACGGGACACGCCTGGCTTCTGCATTCCGCGGGTGAGCCTCGTCCACACCCGTGTCCCCACCCAACCACTGCTTCTCAGCACTGGGGTTTGCTCCCATGAATCCATGTAAAATGAGCCCAGGTAATGCAGCGGTTAAGCGCTCAGCTTTGAAGCCACCAGCGGCTCTGCAGTAGAAAGACCCGGAGATTTGCTTCCATGAAGATAGAAACCCTCTGGGGCAGTTCTACACTGTCATATGAGGTCGCCGACTGGACAGCACCCAACAGCAACCCATTAAGATGCTTGAGTCTAACCAAAAGGTTGGAGGTTCTAGCCCACCAAGAGCTACCTTGGAAGTAAGGCTTAGCAATTTGCCCTGCTAAAGATGACTGTGTAGCTCTACTCTGTCATATGGAGTATGGCACCTCAAAATAGTAATCTATTGAAAGACTTCAAACATGCATTTAAACTGGGGACAATTGCAAATATAGAGAGAAAGACTGGTTTAAAATATATATGTTGTTGTTGTGAAGTACTGTCAAGTCGGTTCCGACCCATAGCGACCCTGTATAGGGTTTCTGAGGAGCAACTGGTGAGCTTGAACCTCCAACCTTATGGTTTAAACCGACTTTGTGGTCCAGGGCGTTAACCACTAGCACCACACCAGAAGTCCTTAAAAAATATATATATCTTGCAAATTAACAATAACCATGAATAAAAAACACAACCCACTGAGTAAGTGCTAACATTTTATGCTTCAGAGTTCATCGTTTTGCCTTTATGTTGTTTTGTTTATCATGGTTTTGGTGATGGTTTATAGAGCAAGTTAGTTTCCCTCTAACAATTGATACATAGTTTGTTTGGTTACATTAGTTACAGTTCCCTTAATGTAACAGAACTCTTCTCACTTCCTCCCTGGGTCTCCTGCGTGCATTCCTCCTTCTTTCCTGCTTCCTGAGCTTCATTTTGGGGCAAACGCTACACCTTTTGGTCTCGTATTGACTGTTCTGAGGAGCGCATTATAGGGCTGTGTGATGTTTGGATGCTTGGCTGTATAATCCCTGGGAGAGAGGGCTTAGATGCAGGTACGAACAGTCATTAAAGCAACGCTGATGCCCTGGCCATCCTGTTCCTTTACGCTTGGCCCAGATGTCACCGCCAGGCATATTTAAAAGTCATGTACTACATGAGGAGAGACGCACAAGAACACCCAAACTTGCAGATAGCACCCATTTGACCTAGCCTCCATGGCTTAATAATCAGAATTCACTAGAGGAAGAGTAAAACAAATTTTTTGATAAAGGAAGTGAGTGTAGCTTGTTACAATTTGGTGAACTTGACCTATAGTTATGGATGTAGTAGCTCCAAATACCAACTGAGAAGGAAGGAGTCTTCACATCAAGTATCAATCCTATCCTCTCTGTATACAGGGTTGATAGGGACAGGCATCTTAGACATTGGCTGCCTAAAATGAGGGGGAGAAAAAGACATGAAGTGATTGGCTTACAAGTTTTCAAGAGGGAGTTTAGTTTTAGAGTGTGTGGGGGAAGGTAGAGTCCCCACTGAATAGTTTTCATCTTGTCCATAGATGGGTCTGGTGAAAAGAGATGGGGATAAGATTCTTAAGATTCAGTAGCGAGTAATTGTTATCATGACTAATTGCGACTGTCACAATTGTAAAGGTAGAAGTTTTGTAACAAAAAGGGGGGAGTAGTTAATCTTACAGTCCAGGAACAGAGGACCCTAGGACCATTAAGGGATAAGAGCACAAGTGGAATGCGGGACCCTGTCAAGAGAAGCAGCAACACCAGAGATGGAGGCAGAGATGGGGACATGGAGAGAGGGAGCAACTGAGGACCCTAGATTCATGGAAAGAGAGGGATTGAGTACTGGCAGCCAGGAGGCAGACTTGCAGAATGTGCTTTCTGGTTGTTAAATTATTATATATTCCTGAGCGCTTTTGTGTACATCTCCCCACCCCACCCCACCCCCCAAAAAGAAAGAAAAGCAGATGGAATGAAAGCAAACCCTGCTGAATGATGATGCACGAAGGAGATTGTTATCATTGCAATGAAACGGTGGTGTAAAGTTGATGCTCTCCATGTAAACTATCACTCAGCTCACAATACAAAAAAAAAAAAAAAGTCATGTACTTCATCTATATGTGTCTACAAGCAACATTAAGGAGCTCTGGTAGTGTAGTGGTTACGAATCAGGCTGCTAATCTCACAGTCAGCAGTTCGAAACTACCAGCTGTTCTGTGGGAGAAAGATGAGACTTTCTGCTCCTGTAAAGATTTACAGCCTCAGAAACCCTGTACAGGGTCGCTATGAGCCAGAACCGAATCCGCAGCACATAACAATAACAAGTAATATTGGACTCCGAGTGTGGCACCATAGGATCAACACTGGACTTTGAACCAGCCACAAGGTTGGCAGTTCAAACCCACCAGCTGCTCCTGGGAAACACTACACTGAGTTGCTCTGAGTTGCAACCAGCTTGACAGCACTTCACAACAACAACACAAGCAATGTATGCTATTTTTGTATGTGTCCAATACTACATCACACTGTACAACATCATTTATATCCAGAGCTTTAGAGATTTCTCACACGGATAGATGGAGTGCTTCTGTGTTTTACCTGTCCTGTCAGGTTCAATGATGTGAATAAAGCACACTTGATTTGTCTTGTGCCCCTGTGGATGCCTGTTAGGCTGAATCTAACTTGTCTCCAGAGGAGACTAGTGGTTCAGTGGTAGCAGCTGCACCTTCAATGTGGTAGACCCGGGTTCGATTCCTGGCCAGTGTGCATCTGCCACTCGTCTCTGTGGGGATTTGCATTTAACCAAGATGCTCAACAGGTTTCAGTAACCTTGCCGGACTAAGAGTAGAACTAGGAATAAAGACCTGGCAATCTATTTCCCCAAAACCAGCCAATGAAAACCCTTTGGTCTGATCCCTTTGTGTGTAGGGTCATCGTGTCTCAGAAGCTGACTTGACTCCCTGTACTGACTGACCATCCAGTATGGTCATACTGACCCATTAATCCCTGTAATTTCTTTCCCTTCAGAATGACCAATGGTGCCTGTCGGAGTTGGAGACCTCTTAAAGAGATCTGAAGAGTAAAACAGCTTGGAACCCATAGCATGTCAGCTAGAAAAATAGAAAATGATTTTTGGAGTTGGACGGTCCTATCTCCAGGAACAACCCCAAATGCCCACCCAAGGTACTCGGGTACTTACAGAGAAAGGCTCAGATTGGGAGCTGCAGGCAAGCCCCGTGTCCCCTTTGCAGCCAGAGCCCAGGGCCACGTGTAGTGCCAGTGGCCGAATCCCTTCTCCACAGGCAGCCAGGTGGGGCTGGGTTGGGTAAGAAGCTCTTGATGCCAAATTAGTGCCAAGGAGACTGACAGCCCACTCAGACCACACGACTTACTCCCACAGGCAAAGTTTGACCACCTAGGACAAATGCGAAGTAAAGACAAAAGAAAGTTAAACTTTGATCAGGAAACAACCCCATTGATCTTTGATCCTTCGCAAATTGCTCAGCAACTCCTGGAGCTCTGGGGACCTGGACAAGTGTTGGAACAAGCCTGAACTTAGAGCCTTGGGGCTCAAGACTTACAAAGTCAGTGTGTCCGTTACCACAGGCCAGCCCCACGAACACCCTCCCCTCA